ATATATATATATACACTGTATATATAGGTAGGAGCCTCTCCACCCTGGAGAGCATGAGTGGATTCCATATATGCTGACCTGATGCTATGTTTTCAAAAGCAGCCAATGATTGAATATAACCTGTATAGAAATGAACTTTAGGGAAGCCACTGAATAACCTTCCTAACTTGCATCCACAAATGAATGACCACCACTTCTAATAGTTGCCCAATGGTAACAATTTAACATGGGAAAATTGTTAATTTTATTATTTTAAAGGAAGAGAGGAAATTGTCACTGTCGTTGATGAACCAGCTAACTCTTATTACTCTTCTTTAGATGAAAGACTCGTTATTGAACCTCCAGCGAGGCATTGGTTTAAGGGACTACAGCTCCGAGGCTGAGGAGAAGAGAAGTCGATATCACTGACACACCGCCAACAAGGCCATGAGGGCATGCTGTGCAATATACTGTAGGACCTGTTTTGTTTGTGAACCAGTATGAGGGCAGCAGCTAGACCGACAGAGAGGACAGAGGGGGAGGCGAGACCAACGGTGAGCTGGTCTGATGGACACAAAGAGGGCAGCCCTTGTCTCCAGCGCACAGAGGTTGAAACCCCCGGGAGGAGGAAATCACGGACAGAAAGTGCCCCTTTCACACACAGGACTGAGGTGTCCCCAACATCACTGAGGCATTGTGGGAAGGTGCTCCTTCGCTACACCTGTGGGATGAACCGTTTTCTTCTACTCTCTTATTTCCAAGTGCATCCTACTGTAAGCCATGTCGACCAGAGAGTCGCAGAGAGAAAGGAGGAAAACTACTGCATGCATTTAGACAACCTAGCTCCCCTCAGTCAGTGTTAATGTGGTCCAGTTCCAGTCTATGTGTGTCACAAAAAAAAAAAGAACAGAAGACGAGGAGAGATTGAGTCGAAGAAAGGGGGGTCCTTTCGAGTCTTAATGGCTGTCTACACTCTCTATACTGTTCCAAACCAATCATCCCTCTAGAGGTCCACGCTGCAGCGTCCCTTTAGTGAACCTCCATGTGATCAAAGTACAGAATCCTTCCACAACCAAAAAGGAAACGACGTGTTGCAGCTGGGAGCTCAGCTTCACCGATAAGTCCCTATTGCCTTGTTTGAACCTGGCCTGTGTGGTCTCCGTCAGGGCTGGTTCCCTGTCAGACTGTTGCGTTGAAATATTTATAAGTAGAATCTAAGGACAGATGAGACCTAAGCCAGTACTTTTAACCTCGCACACAATTCACTTAATCGGTTGCCCCAGCCACATTGTGAGCTACCTTACATTGCATTGTTCCTCATCCTTCTAATGGAGTAGAATGTATCAGCCTGGACAAAAAGGCCAGACTTTGATCACAACTTATTCATTTTTAAAAAAGGGGGAGCTGCAGCTAGACCAATAGGGAGACCTGTGTTCTTACATGTTTTATTACTAAACTGTGACTATATCTCTTTAAAAATATTTCAAATTAGAAAGAATTCTATGAATATATTTGAAATATATAAGAATATTTCATTATTTAATATATATATATTTCAAAATATATAAACATTACCTATATTTATTGTTAATTTATGTAAATAAAGAAATTATCAGAGCTCTAGACCAGTTAAAGAATTTCTAACAAAAAGTGTTTTCTTCTAAAAATGCATGCCAGATATGTCTGTGACATGTCGAGTGTGCAAGTACGATTCTGCATTTGCGCGATTATATTCGCGCGCGCGTGTGTGTGTGTGAGTGCGAGAGAGAGAGAGAGAGAGAGAGTGTGTGTGTGTGTGTGTGTGTGTGTGTGTGAGTGAGTGAGTGCATGCATGCGTGCGTGTGTGCACAAGTGTGTTGGTGTAAAGTGTGACATTTGTACCATTCCACACTTGTATGTTTCTTATTTTTTCTTTTCTGGCTCCTGCAGCCAGACTGCCTTTTTTAATGCTAATGCGTTTGGATGCTGCCTTGCATTAGCCCCACCAGGGTACCGTTTACAATTGAAGAGTTTTGTTCCAAAATGACATATCCAACATTTGAAGACAAAGTCACACCTACTTTTACACAAGGATGGATTTCTTAGACAATTCATGTCAGTGTTTGACACATACTAAGTAGCTTAAATCCACGGTTTACAAAAAGCAGGAGACAGAATTGATCACCTAAATTTTAAGATGAACTTGATTATTTTTTTCTTGTAAATGGATATATAACATTTTGGAGATGAACCCTTCATTTGCCCTCTATGAGCAACTCTTTGTTCCCGTCACCACATTGGTGGCTTGACGACTCTTTCGTGAAAGGAATAGTTTTCAAGTTTTCAAATTCACTTCCTTGCCAAAGGTTAGGTGAAGATTGATACCACTCTCATGTCTGTACGCTAAATATGAAGCTACAGCCAGAAGCCGCTTAGCTTAGCTTAGCAAGCGGTTTCCTCCTGTTTCCAGTCTTCATGCTAAACCAACCTTCTCTTGGCTCTACTGTCTAGCCGCCAGTTAGCTTAGCTAACAGCTGAGTTATGGTCCAGACAAGCCAGGCTAGCTGTTTCCTCTTTCTTTCATTGTGTATGATAAGCTAACCATCTCCGAGCTGTAGCTTTATATGTTGCTTGCGTATGTTAGAATGGTATCAATCTTCTCGTATAACTCTCGGCAAAAAAGCAAATAAGCGTTTTTCCAAAACTGTCAAACTATTCCTATAAAAGCACCTACTTCATCCCATATTATACTCTGTCTGTCTTTGAAGCATGAAAATGAACTTTACGCAACTCAATTGAACCAAAAGAAAGACTCCACGAATGATCATGTTGTGTTAACTGGGTTTGGTGTGGCAAAGAGCATCTCTTAAGAGTTTGTCAACAGAGACCACTGATAGCTGACAGACTTTAGTGATGAAAACACTTCCAAATAAGAAAACAAATTGTGTTTATAAAAAAAAAAAAAGAGAGAGAGCAAAAGGAAGCACTTTAAGGCCTTTTTCAGGTAAAGAATGAAAGAAAGAAATGGCAGCCGTTTAGTTTGGAAGTGATTGCATGGCTGAGGAAACGTTCTGTTTTAGTTCATTTGACAATCACACTGGGGATTGACAACTTTCCAAACTCATGAGAAAGTCCGGCTTGATTTTAACCCTGCTGGTTTGTCATTGCCCACAGATTACTTCTGCCCGATTAGAATAGTTGTGCGTAATTCAATTCAACATGCAAATCTCTCTCACATCCCAAAGCCCAATCTGAGGCCGACACACTTACTTGTCTATTTCAGTGCAAGGCAAAATGAGTGATTTGTATGAGGGAATTGTATCTTTACTTTGTGCCTGCATGGCGTGTTACTGACTGACTTAATGAGAGCTTAATGAGAGAAAAGCTTCAGGATTGGACCCCTGCTGTGTGTGTGTGTGTGTGTGTGTGTGTGTGTGTGTGTGTGTGTGTGTGTGTGTGTGAGAATATTACATTTGAAGAAGGCACTGAGTAATGATAACGCTTGGGAACCTTGAGACCTGAATGTTAGTGGAAATGTTTTCTGTTTTATAGAAATCACTTTCACAACCCTGATGACACTGAAAGATTATATTGAAGCTATGCTTTATGTATGTGAAGGTACAGAAATGTCATATATATATATATATATATATATGAAAGTGTGATTGAAATGCTTTAAAGTGTTTGTTTTTCAACGTGTATGATGAAATGGATTTTTTTTTGAATTATGTTTTTTGGTTTTAAAAATGGCAAACATTCTCATACTGTTTTGAATGAGACATGGTAAATACTTGATTAAGTTGGTTGTGCTCCCCAGTTCTGGTTTTATTGACTTGATTTCAATCTTGGGACACTGGAATTTTATTTCCCTGTCAGGGCTGAGTAAAATCGTTTATATGGGCCGACGCATTTTAATATTGAACTGCGGTAAAACGCTCATCCTCCTCAGTCCAATTTAGATCTTCACCCGAGCCTCCAAAGAACCGTCACAGCAGAGCTGAATTTCATTTCTTCAATCGTAATAATTATGCAAATTAAATATGTTGCTTACCTTCATCATTCCTTTGTTTCTTATTGAATCCAACAAATTTGGCTTTAAGTAATCTGAGCTACAACCACTCGCAGGTAACACCTGTGTTCACAGTTATCTGCGTTACACGAATGATTGTACGATTGCTATTGCTGCTCAGCTGTGGACCCAAGGTGACCTGAGAGTTCTGGATGCCACCGTGTTTAGTCACTGACAACTAATGAATTGTGCGCTTCATTGACTGTATTAATTGGCATTTGCCTTGCTTGTGACAAAGACGGCGAGACATCGGTGCCACCCATAGAACACAGCACTAGCTAACGGCATCGGTTAACACTCCACGATTGGAATCGCACACACAACCTGCTGAAAATGACCACTGATCAAACGCTCCTCTTCGAGTGTGTCTTCAAAAGATATGTACTGGTGTAGTTCTGTTCAAAAATAATTGTACTGTATGATTTTTTTTTTTTGTTTTTTGTTCTGTTTTTTTATTTTAGAAAATGTTCTGATCTCCAGAGAGACTGTTAGGGAAATTGCTACATGAGATGGAATATACTGTAAGTATATGTTGTGTATATCTGCAGTGTGCACACACACACACACTCACACGCACGCACACTCACTCACACACACACACACACTGACAAAAGAATCCAACCTGCGCTGCGCGTAGGTTTTGACTTGCTGATGACTTTGCCTCATAGAGACTGAAGATAAAAGTGGCTTTCTGGTTCATGTGAAGTAGAGATTGGAAGTATGAATAAAAAATATATATAATATACAAATAGTGTTGCAATTTTTGGAGACTTTTGTTATACTTTATTTTGACAAATCACACTCATTTCATAATTTTAACATATTTAAGTTGTTCTCCTTAACGACCCAGTACGTTTGACCTCAGGAGACGTCCCCGTGTAGTACAGAGGAAGATTGCATGAGGCACCAGGATGAAATGTTCATCTCTTACTGCACTTTAAAAACATACAATAAAACCAACAGACTTTAAAATATTGATGTAAGCTATTGAAAGCATTGTTATTTTGGGTGCTGCTCATACCGTAACCTACTGTATATTCACAGCAGTTCCTATGTGTTGTTTCTATGGCCCCTTTGTTGTCTCACTTTAATTACTGTTGCATAAATGACCTTTTAATTGCCACTGTCTCTGTTGTACAGACTCAGCGAGTGAATGCACATGAAAGCTATGATGCCAGTCTTCGATCCTAAAGAGCATGAGACTGAAACAACTGGGATGCATATAGACAAAATTAAGACTTTTACTAAAACTGTTGTTTCTTTCCATAAAGATACCACAACAAAATTCTCACTTTTTTACTTAAATTACTTAACTTAGCCTCTGCTTTGTTCTTTGTTTTGGAGAGACCATTTCAGATGCTAGTTCTTCGAGGAGAAGCTGCTTAAGACACACAAAATGGCACAGTAACATGAAATGGGATATGCCACTGACTTTAAAAAAAAGTCTGACTTTAAAAGTTTTTTTCCAGATGTTTTTGAATTTTCCAAACTTGAATGTGTTCAACATTCTTCAGCATCCAGGAGGCGTGCAGCGAGACGGAGACGGATTGATAACTTGATTCCTGATTGGAGAATGAGGTAACAACATACCGTTTTTCTAAAAACAAAACGCAAATAGCTGATACAGATCTATAGATTAGGATCACAGTGACGTACCACAGTCCCATTAACCCATTCACTGCGTTTCACAATGTCTTGCATTTACAGCATCTGTGTTTATACTACGCACTGACATAAAGGTTATTGCTATCCATTGTTACGGCTTCTTTCACCAGTTTATCAGTCTGATTATTGCTGTACTCTTTACTTTATTGCTATAATGGCTTTAAGTCGTTTCAGGATACCAAAACCCCAGTCTATCACTACGCACCCAGAAATAGCCTTCCCCTGAAGCGGTCCATTAGTCCCGGACCAGGATGGGGAGAGGGGTGAGGCCGACGCGTCACTGTAATGAATCAAGGGGGCTGGGACAACGTCACGCGCAGCAATCCCACGGCCTCTCGCGTCCAATGAAGGCTGAGATTGGGTTTGCGAAGAGGGGAGGATGACTCCCACTTTTTCTCTCTCCGTGGCTGGTCGCAGAGGGCGGGGCTCCGTGCTGCGTTTGACAGCTGCGAAATAGAAAAATGTATAGCTCCAAAGCTGCCATATACTATCGCAAGGAATTGGGATGCAGCATGGCCCTTTATAGCCAGCGAATGCCCTCGTAAATCTGGGCCAATTAGAGAGCGCTGAATAAGGTTGGGGTGGGAGGGTTGAGGAATTTGCTTTTATTGTGCATATAAGTCTGGGATTTTGGGGGCCATGCATCGCGCTTTCTCGTTCCCGGTGACTGTGGCGCGCAGTCGGACCAAGGAGCGCCTGGAGGCGAGTCTGACCGGGCTGTGTGAGCTGGAGCTCCGCAAGCAGAGGCAGGAGTGCCTGGTGCTTGGGGCGCTGGCTCTGGGGGACCCTTTGCTCGAGGACCGCTCCAGAGGAGAGCTGGCGTGTTTCAGCAGCTGGGGCCAGGAAAACTTGACACTGAGGCGCCAGCTGGTAAGAAGTCCGAGCGTCTTTTTACTGCGTGTTTGGATTCCAGCGGACTCGGAGCATATCACCCCACCCCGTGATGAAAACCCCACGTACCCATAGTCCTACATAGTTTTAAAATATCCAATAGCCTTTGCAGCGTATCCTAATTGTAATCCGCTTGACCGTTACATGGACTCTTGGTCTGGGCAGCGCCCTTTGTGTCGAGGTGACCTCTCTCTGCTAAAAAAAAAAAAGTTACTCAACTTGATTAATAGGCCTTCTGTTTGAAAGGATGTAATGCGTTTCTGTGCTTTGGGCTGAGATTTATGCCTGTGGGTAACGAAATCAGGGGGTGGAGCACCCGCCGTTTGTAGCACAGACCCACTATTTAATGGCCCATTGTTCCCTCATCACGGACTTTTGTAGCTTTTACTACTTAACAAGCTCTTATTTGTGCTCTCCGCAGATCATAAAGGGGTGAATTATATCTCCCGCTTGTATGTTGTTGCTGCTAACATTTTGATGTCATAAGCAATCTTCCAAATAATTGATGAGGTGGCTTTTCTCATGTCGAGCTCGAGCGAAGTTGCGACAAATGTGTTCCCAGGATTAACATGATAATTAAAAACTGGGTTACCCAAGAAAAATGCAACTTTGGGTAACAGCATAACCATCTCCCACAGGAAAGTTTCACGCACCAATGAGCCCAGCACTGTAAATAATGTTGTTTTTTTTAAGGTCTGTATTTTATTTTATTCCCCGTTATGCTGCTTTAAGTTTAATTTTTGGGTCTGGGAGTTTCGTTTGTGTTCGGCCGCTGCTCTCGCGCAGCCCGCTGTCTCAACATTGCTACAATAGGAAGCCATTATTAAAGAGGGTGAAAAAGAAATTAAATCAGCCGCCTCCTCTTCACACCTCCTTCTCTTCTCCCTCCTGCTCCTCCGCCGGGGGTCTAACAATAGGCGCGTATGGAGCAGAATACTAATGATTCCGACCGAGACCGAGTGAGAGGATAAGGCTCGTAGACCTTGTGCCCTGCCGTGAGTCGGGTAGGGCATAATATGGGCACTGTGATTCATTTTGGCCTCAATGATTGCTCATCCGGGCGTGTGTGGACTGTTTTTTAATAATTCTAATGGAAAACAAAGAATCATTTTATTTTGAAACCAATTTGAAATATGCATGGTATGTGTGAGGGTCAAGTCTTTCCAGTGCGCACACGCATCTATCTTGTGAATTCCTCTCCCCTGGTGCTGGAGGAGCTGTCAGCGCATTTCAGCCTGGCGTCTCATCCACATATTGACGGGAAGCAAGAAAATCTCCAAAGCCAGTGGAGGAGTGACACGCGTTTCCCCCCACGGGGCTGCGTGTGTTCCCGTTTTCATTTTCTGCGCAACGCGATTGCGAATCGATGTTTATTAACTGTTGTGCTTACCCAAGCGTGTGAGTAATTACACGGGGTAATCCTCTGAGAATCCTTTTTTTTTTACTCTTATTGAAGCCTCAAATTGAGTCTTCATATCAGGTCACCAGCTGCGTCCGAGCCAAATCCCCAATCTCATCTTCCATGTAGGTTAAGTCTCCAAAATTCTCCAGTTCACGGTGTGACACGGAAACAACATACCCGTGGGGCTGCCAGTGCGTGCGCGTGCACGTGGCTGCCTTGAACATGAATGTGGCCCCAGACAGGGCTGAGGGGCCTTTTTCTCCTGGATACAGTGTGTGGTGTTGACAGCTGTGGGACACCAGACAGCAGCTGGGAAAGCATGAAGCTCTGACCTCCCTCTTGGCAACCTACCCAGCGTGTTTGAAGAGAGTGGAAAAGAATGCATGAATTGTGTATGAGTGTGTGACATACATACATCTGTGTGTGGATGGGCGTTTGATTTTTAGAAACCTCAAATTGAATTTACCCCACCACACACACACACACACACACACTTGGAGGATTCAAAGTAGCACACAGTAGCATGTGTGTCTATAGGCACATGTGTGAAACCATGTGTACCTTCCTCGTGCAGGATTTTTAGCATGTTTCTGCAGTATGTTTTGCTTTAGTCTTGTGCCTTTGCTAAACCGCTGGTTTATCGTCCATCAGGTTGTGTGTGTCCTTGTGTTAAGACAGCAGCACGTCATTAGTGAGACCATGGAGCGGTTAGTCCGCTCAGCAGAGACCGATCACTCGTGTGGATCACTGGATGGTTTCCTCTGATTTTGTGCTGGCACACAAAGATGAAAAAAGGAACCCAAATGTCTGCGCGTTATTTAGCTTATTTGTACACATAACTGTACATGCAAATGAGTTTCTGAACATGTATGTGCATGAATATACACATCCACACAGACATTTGCAAACATTCTGTCTACAGACACGCCATGAGGGGGACTCTGTGCTGGTCCCACACAGGAGCATAGCCTGGTGCAAGTCTCTTAAGAGACTCCATTCATAGTCAACCCACCCTGCCGCCCTCCCCAAGCCTCGGGGCACGTACAACGGAGTCAGAGCCTGCTAATGAATGCCATCCACTGCGCTTATGTAAACACCGGGTGCACTGCTGTGTCAACTTCTGTCGAATTAGAATTCATCATTCAAATTTAATTCACCGTATTAAAATAAAGCATTTATAAGGTGCGTGTCTATTTGAAGAAAGAAGGGGTCAGTAGTTTAGTCAAGCAGTGGCAGTGTGTGTGTGTGTGTGTGTGTGTGCGTGTGTGCGTGCGTGCGTGCGTGCGAGAGAGAGAGTGTGTGTGTGTGTGTGTATCCGGCCTCCAACAGCCTTCTCTGTGTGGAGCCAGTCACAACATTGCTTCAATTATAGAGGGTCCAGCAGTGCTGCTCCATGCCTCATGTGTCCTGTTCTGTGTATTTTTATATCCTGGGCTGGCGTTACCGTTTCAAACCCTTTCAACCGGTGACTTGTTAGAGGTCTCTTCTACAGATTAAAAACCTCTTTCAACAGCCAAGGTCCATAGCATGGCTGTTTTTTTTAAGATGGCAGAAATGCAATGTCTCTACACTGCCCTTCTCTCGCACAATCAAAAGCTTGTTTTCTCCGTGGCCTCGAGATTCTTGTGTCAAACTGTCTCATTTTTCATCTACACACTAGCTGAATATGTAACCTGTGAAATCAGTCGATAGTCATACATTATGTTGTCCTGGATTCACCTGCTGCAGCTGGTCAGTATTTATTTTTATTGAAAGAGCAGGTGGTCCTGATGTGCTGTACACCCAGTGTTTAACGTCTTAATGGCTAGGTGAGTCTGTCTGCACAGTGTCCTCTGTCTCCCCCATCCCCCCACCAGCCTGGAGCAGGGGACGCAGTAAAACAGTAATGATACAGTGTGCAGAGTGTCAAGGAACCCGTGTGAGACCATTAATAATGGAGTGCAATCAAAAGCCCTGCTTGCAAAATGGTCCCTACTACAGGTTCATACTGTAGTATGTAGTATCTCCAAAGCCACACTACTAAATGTTGTATTGTGTTTGCTTGGTTTTGTTCGGCCACAAAGGTTTGTTTGTTTTTTGCACCATTATAATTTAATAAACCAGCTCCATGGCTTCCGCGGCGTGTGCACGTGCGTGTGCATTTGTGGGCATGGCCACAAAGAGGCGGCAAGCAATCAATTATGTTAGTTTTCATCATTGATTAATTGATTTCCAATAGTCTCCCCTCCTCCCAGCTATTTCTCTATACAAAGCTCCCCACTCTTCGTTTCTGTCACACAAAACCATATTGATGTAGTGATGCTAATGCTTTGTTTATAGTAAGACAACAAGCGCTCTTGTGTGGACAAAAGAGATGGCAGTGTTTGGGGTGAAGAGGTTCTGTGGGCAGCATAGGTTAGCTTGGGTCAATTGCCCCTCAACAGCATTTGCATCATGACCGTATTTAGTCTGCGGGACAAAGGAGTCGGAGCTCAAGCACTGATTGGCGCACTGACCAAAAGATCACTCTGAGCGATAGTCCAGACCTAGTTTCCTGTAGTCTGGGATTTTTTTCTCTAGACAAATTACAGGTTTGAGGAGATAAATCATGCGGCGAGAGAGAAACGCATGCTTTGTTTTCTTAAGTTTGAGCTATGAAGGAGGTTAGGGAGTTATGTAAATGTTATTTGGTATAGAAATGTACCAAATTACACGGTTATCCATCTAATAGTTGTCAAGACTCTTCTTCTTCTTTTTCCTCAAACAAAGCTTTATATGTTGCTTCCTCAATGCTAAATACATTCTTTAGATTCAATACTCCCACCCCACAATTCTTAAATTCCTTCTTTAGCTTTTCTCTGTGCTTCAAACTTCTAGCAGTGACAAATAACATGTTCAACCATATTTTCTTCTAAGCCACATTCACACAGAGCTGATGGATGTTTCCCCTTTTAATTGGTTGGTGTCACAAGAAAATAAATATTAACCTCATGGTGGCACCAGAGGAAAGGTCAGGGGGTTACCATAGTGAGCAGACTTTATCCTCTGGGCACCATGGATTTCTTTTTTTTTTAATTCATGGAAATCCATCAAACAGTAGTTAAGATATTTCCTCCTTGACCAAATTGGTGGGCTGACCGATAGACCGACGTTCCCGCCCCTAGAGCCATGCCATAAGCACGGCCAAAAGGGCTCTCTATGACTAACTGTGCTTTTTGATAATTTCTCAACAGCTGTTTTGCACATTTGCACACCACAGGACCGTTTCTTCATTTCTATAGGCAGCGTTTTATTGACGCAGAGACACAAATGTACAAAGACAGTGCTCAGCACAGAAGACTGTAACAGTCGTCTGAGGTGCTCCATCATAGCAGGTTTGTAATGTAAAAAGTGTCACCTTGTTGCAAGGACATGCTCAATCTTCTGGTAATGAAGTCTCTTAATGAGCCTCGAGTGTCAACAGTATCGCCTCCAACAAAATTAAGTGTGTGTGTGTGTTTTACATATCTTGTGGGGACATCAATCTAAACAATCACATTGTGGTGTCTCGCCTTCCTTTTGGTGACAAAATATACGTACCATAACATAAATCATTACATCGTAGAGTGAGTGAGTGAGTGTTTGTGTGTGTGTGTGTGTGTCTGTCCAATCCATGTGTACAACCTTGCGTGCAAGTGTCTATAGATGTCAGTACGTGTGTCAGATGATGTCAACATGAGACCGGCGCAAATTGTCTGGCAGGCTGAACGAGCATGTCCAATTTTACTGTGGTGTGTGTGTGTGTGTGTGTGTGTGTTTCTCTGTTCTTAAATTGTGTTTTTTTACTCTGTCTATGTTAGCAGTGTGAGCAAGCACTTTTGTCTGCATATCTGGACAGCATGTGTGTGAATGTGATCACATGAAAGACCCTCCACCTAACCTTTACAGACCTTGAATTATTCATGTTCTGACTCACTGCTTCTGAGAACCCGGTGACAGATATGGATGCACAGTGATGACCTGCGATGTCCGCATTTCTATTTTAGTAACTAGTGAAGGAGAATCCACATCTGAGTTGTGGCATTTTGTGTTTTTGCTCGTTTGGGTCATTGTTATTGTACAAACACCATAATTACATGGATTATCTTTCTTTCATCAGATTGAAATGTCCATCTTTGGATACAAAGTGACTGTTTCTCATATAAATGGTTATAATTGCAGTTAATAATGCAACGTCAGCTTGCTAAATTATTGTCTATTTTACACACAATTTATTAAAATGATTACCTTTATTCAAACACAACCCATCCACCCATAATATAAAACCCTTGCGTTGAACTTTCAGAGTTTATAATGAAGGATGCACAGCTGTGCGTGGGTCATTAGCGTTTCTGCAAACCAGTTATTTTATTGCGAGGAACTTCTTGCTTTGTTGTTGAAATCACTGATTGTTTCCTCTTACTGTCTACTTAAAAATTACTTCTCAACAGACCAATCAAATACAGACAGCAAGAAAACATCCTGTGTGTGTGTGTTTATGTTTCAGAGTGCCCTTCAGAGTTCCCCATGGGGCCTGATGCAGGCGCTGGAACAGCAGGTGGGAGAGCTGAGGATCGACACTGACGATGGCTGCCATGATGGCGCTCAAGGAGACGCAGGTGACAGTCGGCCGAGTTCTGGTACTTCCACAGTTATATTTTGTTAATATAATCTACGCCAGGAAACTCATGTTTCTTTGTCTCTTTGCATGTTGATATACGCTTGTAATGAGTTTGTCATGTTATTCCTCCTCTTATTCGTTCATGCTCCAGTTGCTTGTAATATTTTGTGGCATATTTACACTGCCTGCATCAAGAAGCATATTTTTAGAGAACTGGAACGATCAGTGAATTGTATAATAAAGGGGATAGTCATCCACTCTCTCTTTCTCTAATTGTATTTCCAAGGTTTCTATGAGTCGAGTGAGGGTCAATCGCCAAAAGGAAGATCTTGTTCCACAGAGCCAACAGAGCCAGTCTCCTCCTGGGTTTACTCCAACGACAGGCCAAAGTCTGTGGGTAAGAAAAAGTAGCAGATCTGAAAAGACTGAGGTACACAACTACACAAAAAGTATTCTTGGTCTATGTGTAAGTGAAGCAACACACATTTTTGTGTATAATTTTACTCTTTGCATTGTCAACCATTAGAATCAGAGCATGTATTCGTCTCTTCTTCTCCTTTTTCTAACATCAAGAGAAGATGGCAGATGTGTTATCCTTATCTGGTATCTATTGTCTTGCAAATAATCCATAGACGTTAAAAAACATAGATGCAGCAACTGATTTATTTTGAGTATGGATTTATTGTCATTGCTGACATATAGGTTGTTCGAAGCCCGATAGTCAAGAAATGCAGTGGAGATCAGGTGGAAAGAACAAGCTGCAACCACCACAGCTGCGATAGATGCATACAAGCGCACTGTTTTATAAGATTGAATTATTCATTAAATGAAAACATATGTTTAAAATCGGCACCAAGGCATAGATTAGATGTGAAACAAAGCATTGAGTCCCTGACATCTTGTAGAATAACTACTGACTTTGCATTCTGAAGTGAAGTTTCTGCATCATGCACCATTGCTTATGTCTAATTTATAGATTGTATTTTTTGTATGTGGTATAATAATTATGCCCCTGCACCCTGACCTACAACTATAGTATTTTCTATTATTAGGAGACCCCCTAATAATGACTGGTGAACTGGATGTGCCAGCCATACGCACCACCCTACCCCGCTCTTTCTCTGCCCCTTACCCGCCTCTGGAGGGCATCGCCGAGGAAGGCGCGGCGGCGGACTCGTGGCAGTGGGACACCAGCGGAGCCTGGCAGCAACAGCCTGCAGAGGATCAGCTCACAGAGGAGGACTACCAGCAGGCTTTGAGGGTAGAGGGTTACATCCTAAGTCTTATCCAGCGTCATACCCTCGCACCGCGGCCGTGTCAGCCTCGCACCACCCTGTGCCCCGACCCCCCGTACTGCGGTGCCTCCGGACACAGCTCCCTACACCGGAGAACTCCTTCTCTTACCACAGAGCAACACTTTCCTGACCCCCACTTTCAGCCCCACGTTGACCTTTCAGCAAACCCTAAGGGCCAGGGCTGGGGTTGTGACCCGCAAGAGGGGGAGGCCTGTGGAGGAGAGGCCCCATCTTTGGAGGAGGACTGTTATCTTGCTCTGCCCTACCCCCAGTCCAGGCCACACTCCCTGGCCGAGAGGCTACAATCACCTCTGCCCTCCCTGGACCCCAACTGTGGTGTTGGGGCCCTTGACCTTTATTGTGAACCCCCATCCCCCCAGCATTACTTACATCCACAACTCCCTATTCATCACAAGCACAATTTAGTAAGTGCTCATTATATCCCTGGGCATGCCTGCCATGCCCCAGTGCGCTCCCCCAGACACTACAACCCAGAGCAGCCTAAGCCCAACCATGTTGTCACCTCTCCTGACCACCAAAAGTCCAGAACTTCTAAGAAGAGCCACAATGAGCGACAGAGAGCCAAGAAATCAAGCAGTAAAACCAATCGATCCCAGTCTGAAAACAGCCTCCTGGGCCAGCGAGTGTTGCCTGAGCGCAGGTACAGCACCACCGAGAGGCACCAAGGCAGAGGGGATCTTGCTCAGAACCAAGGCCAAGTCGCTGGACAGCAGGCGGGCATCAACAGCGACAACGGGAGCCGACGTTGGTGCTCCAACCTGGAGCTCAGCCAGGACGAAGGGGAGACCATAGCAGGGCAGTCACATCGACGACCACCACGTAAAGTTCGCCACGGCCATTCTTGCTCCCAGTCCCAACACCAGAACTACCAGCAGCAGCAGCAGCAGCACACCCAGCGCTGGCACCCCGACTTCCAGGAGAAAGCCCCTCTCTGTCATGGAGAGGGGGGCTACGCTGCCGCCGCCCCCGCCGAGTCCGAGTCCAGCATGAGCGAGGTGTATTCCCCGGCCTCCAGCTCGCTGTCCAGTGACTCCGACGAGAGCGGGGGGCTTGTGTGGCCCCAGCAGCTGCCGCCACGCCTTGCTTCCACCTCCTCCTCATCCTCGCCCTCACCACAGGCAGCCGCCAACGCCCCCTCTCAACCAAAAGCCTTTGTCAAAATCAAAGCCTCTCATGCTCTCAAAAAGAAGATCCTTAGATTCCGCTCAGGGTCCCTCAAAGTCATGACTACTGTTTGAGGAAATGCTCACATCTGTTTTAAACCCATGAACTTTTTTACTGTGTTGTAAAAGCCATTGTCAGAGCAACACTTGTGTGCCTGCTATTTTCACCGATCATTTGTTAACCAACCGATCCAGTTTTGACACGCTACCTACCTCTAATTTCAGTATGTTTGTAGTGAGAGACATTTACATTAATGGGCATGATTAAAGATCTGCTAGAGATCATCTGGTTGAATTTATATTGTAGTTGACAGCCATCAGACACCAGACTAATGGCCATTACCCTGCTCTAAGTGATGATAATTGGTGTGACGCATAGTTACACTGCGTTGACATGGACCACACTGAAGTGACTGAATATGCTGCCAGTTTGTCAGTCCTGATGCCTGTTGGCCTTATAGTTAATTAATCACAGATGTGTGGTTAATTGGTCATACAGTGTAAGTCTACACAACTAATGGGTACATTGTCGAAAGCTTCAAGTCTTGCTAAACACCAGAGCTCTAGAAATGAAATAGAAATAATTTATGGCACTGACTTTTTTAAGAAATATGGGTAACTTCACTCTATTTGACGGGTCCAAAATTTCCCACTAATTTCCTTCGACGTTTCCTGGAAAGAACTGAAATGTGGTACTAATCTGGGGCAACAGCTCAATTTAAACCCAAATAATTGGTAATAGATTATTCATTAATTATTGGAAAGTTTATGATCAAATTTTGCAAGGACTTGCTCAGCACTGAATACAAGCCTGTAGTTACCAGTTAATTGGAATTAACTGGAGTGTACCATTCGAACACTGTCTCTATTTTCCCACAAATCAGTATTAGATTACATATTTCATTCCAGGAATTATTAGGTTATCATTCTGAAACTTCACTACTGAAGACATGACTCCAGTGTGTGGTAAAACTTGAAGCTTTACAGTGAGGATTTGTCTTGCAGTTAGCCTGCGTCCTATAGGGAAAATAAATCTCTCATTTGTGCAGGAGTGAACAAATGTGTAATAGAACAAATCTATGTTTACATTTGGTTCTCCCACAGGCTCAAAATTGACGGTCTGATTGTTAATCTCTGAGCAGGGAATGTCCATATTGTTCACAGGTACTCAGCTCTGCCTCTTTGTAAACTGTGCTGTAGGGACCAATGAGCATCAACAGGTCTGTGAGTAAGGAGTGGGTTTAGTAGAGGCCGTAGTAAGGGACCGGTGTACATGCATGCATGCACATACAGTATGTATAAGTGCACATATTAATTGAACCATATTGACACAGAATTGGACACTCCTGTAATTGTGTGTTTCTGTATATACCATCACGTGGCCTTGTTTGGAATGAATGTAGTTTGTAAATAAAGGCTTTTTCCTCTTCATTTTGGTACGTTAACACATTTTTATTGTTTTGTTTATTCTTTAATCGCCCTGGTACAACAAGATCCATTTCAAAACATCATATAAATATGCATTAGGCAAGTGGTACAAAAAAAGGGTAATTAATTTACATTTAATAGACTTCTGTAGACGTGCTAAGTGGAGCATTTGTCTGAACTGAATTTATTTGACAAACCTGCAAACATCTCTAAATTGTCCTTTTTGTGTTTAGGGTCTGACACACTTTGGTACTCCGCCCACGAGCCATATGCAACTATATACACTTTGGTCATTGAGCATCAGAGATTTAGAGTGTAGCTCCCTCTTGTGGTCTATGCAGACTACTGTTACACATGGGGACATGGCTGTGTCTTATACCGGTAAGTATTATACAAGAACAATGTATTAATTATTAATAACAAAAAACTTGAATTATACGAAACAAAAAGCAATACAAAGATCAAATCATTTATAACAGAAATGCCTTCAAACACGTTCTGACATCCTTGTATAGGAGCAGAAATAAGAAGTGCCATTGTTGCGTGAGACATGCGTTTCCACAGGAAATATTGCAGATTGGCAATCTTGAGGCAATCATGACACCATGTTTGCATTTCATTCAACTGCATTAGCAAACCTCCTCACAATAGCTTGTGAAACAGCAGGGTTGGTGTGCTCACGCGTTCAAATGTTGAAGTTATTTCTTCAGATGGAGTTTATTTGTGTCAAAAAAGTCAATTCTGAACACAGACAGTTTATGGTGAAACCTCAGTGTTTCGGATCCCCACGTTCAGGAGAGAAGATGTCGCTCGGTGAGGAGATTGAAAAAGTGCATCAAAGTCGACACAACATCAGATTTTGGTCATCTCCTTTCCGTTGCTGGAGCTCTTGGTGTCGTTATTGGTGATGCTCAACTTGGTCACAGGGTCCTCGCTGATGAAGTGCATCATGTTGCGCAGGGAGCGGTTCATGCTTTCCTTGAAGCCCCGGCCCAGACACACATAGAGCAGCGGGTTGAGGCAACTGTTGAAGTACGCCAGGCACAGTGCCAAGACGTGTGCCAGGTACAGTCTGGGGCTGTGATCAGAACTCCGAGGGACCGTCAATATGAGGAAGTCCAAAGTGTGCAGTGGGAGCCAACACAGGAAGAAGCTCAGCACCACGGCGATGATGACCCTCAGCGTGCGCTTGGAGCGCGTCCGACCTTTGGACAGTCCGCTCTGCGCTCTCTTGTACACCACCAAGTGACAGACCACGATCACCAGGAAGGGGAGGATGAATCCCACCAGGAAGCGGTAGGAGGTGACGAGCCAGGCGCTGAGTGTAGTGTACATCGTCACGCACTCTCGCTTGTCTTCACCCGCTTCGATCTGCTTTGTGTAGACGAACTGGGGGATGCTGCCCACCAGGGCCAAGAACCAGACGGCCACACACCCGCAGGCGGCCTGCTTGGGTCGCCTGTTGTTCTGACACCAGATGGGTCTGGTGACCAGCATCCAGCGATCCACACTGATCAGAACCAGCTGCAGGACGCTGCAGTACATCACCAGGTGAAACAGGCTTTTGACTAACGTGCAGGCCAGCGGCCCAAAGTGCCAGTGGTCGTCATGGGCCAGAGGGATCATGAGCAGAGGGAGGGAGAGGCAGCACAGGAGATCGACCAGCGCGAGGTTGAGGAACCAGATGGAGGTGACAGAGCGGGGCATGCAGAACCCCGTCACCCACACCACCACAGCATTACCGGGGACACCCAGCAGGAACACCAGGCCGTACAAGACCAGAGCCCCGATCTGGATCGGTTGAATCGTAGGTGTCAAATTGTCGGTAAAATCGGGCAGTGTGCCATAGTCCATAGTAATATTGGTTAAATTGAAGTTGTAGTCATCAAAGTTATACATGGCTGAAGCTGTAAATGGAAAGATTGTCAAGCATTAGAATAACATTTTTATTATACTGAAATTATCATTATAAATAGATGGACAACATGATTTATTTTGGTGTGTGACAAATGTTTAGTGTAAAACAAATATCTTTCATAGGTAGGCCTATGTGTGAAACTATAGATAAGTCCATCAATTAGCCCAACACAATCATAACAGATGATACATTCGAGCTGATTAGTTGAATTATCTTATACATTTGTAAAATATAGTCACAATATAACAGAAGCATTTAAAACTTAAAGATAGGTAATTTTTTCAACTTACAATTTCAGTGGTCTGTTGCAGCTTCACTGCTGACAGGAAGTTATGAAGCCGTTCTGCTTTCAAAAGGGTTTTATACCCTCGCACACACCCTTAACACACACACACACACACACTTGCACAATATCCCAACTAAAAACATGAACTAAGTCATCTTCTGGAAACAGTTGAATTTAAACAAACAATGTGGTTTTATTTGTGTTTATTCACGCTTTTTATATATCTTTATGTTTGTTATCTATAGGCCTTCATGGCATCTTGTTGTTGTGACACTTCAGAAGAAGAACGTATCCAGTTACAATAAAATTGACTGACGCTAAAGCAAACATTATTCACTCTGTAAGAGTTTGTAGATCGTTTTCAATACAATTTACACATTTCACATAATTATATCATTTTGTAATTTAGATTCAAGAACAATTATTAGTGGATTTATTAGGTCGAATTTGCTTTTTAAACAGTAAAAACGTGATTCAAACCCTCAGCAACAAAAAATAATGATACGCATTAGTGGGACAAAATACTTTATTGACAAATTCATAATTGTCATTTTGTAATAACACAACAAATTTTCCATATATACAAGTAATTCACAGTTCAGCCTAAACACAAATGAGAGTATAAATAACACAACTACAATTCTCAATGGTGTCTACAACTGTTAATGAAAAGCTAGAGCTGCCTGCATTTTTTTGGTTCAACATGGCTGACAACAAACTGAATGTCCACTCCTGTCCGCCAAAAAGAAGCAAAGTCTGTGACCGGTGATTTTGGTAACATTGTGGAAATTGCTGATTTTAAGATCCCAACATTAGTCAGAATGTGCCACTCACATAAAGCACGATGAGAAATTATATAACCAACGGATGTGGTCATTTCAAAATGCTCCACAGATTCAGGACAGCAGCAAGTGAATCCAGAGCAGCGCCTAATAAATATTATACTGAAGCAATAACCAAGTAAATGTCCTCAAAATGATGACTATGAGCAATATGTTAAATAAGGTACAGAGATGAAGTAAAAATTAACAAAGCACAAACTAAAGAAAATTGGTTAGCAGGATGTTCCCTTTTAGCCCATTGACATCAGTGAGCCCTTAACAATTAGGACATAAAACGGGAAATGACACATAAAGTTATAACGTCAGCAAAAGTTATTTTAGAAGTAGAAAAAAAAACAGCAAACGCAGTATTGCTGAAACGTCTGCCACCACCGTCAGCAACCAAATTTTGTGTGTGTGAGAATGTGTGTTTGTGTTTCTGTGTATCTGTCTCACGCCTGCTGGCATATATTTATATTCATATTAATGTGGATATAAATCTCAGAGTCAGCGTGCAGCTCTTTGACATCGAAAACATATTTTGATACTTCCTCTTTCCTCTTCATCAACATTGGCTTTCAGTTCAATCTTTTCTTTTCAAATCTTTTTATTGATTTTGCAAATACTTTAGACAGAGGTTCAGTTCAATCTTTTGCATCATCTGTCACTGTCAAACTCTGGGTTGTTTTCTCATAGTTGTCATCAGCAGAATGTTTCCTCACTGGGTCTCCGAGGTTAAGTCAGTTGAGGGCTGGAGCGCTGCTCGGTGGAAGGGTGGGGGTGTCATCTCTAAATGCATCTGACTGAAGGTCTGCAGAAAAAAAAGGACACCGTCTTTATCCTATGTCTTCAAACAATTCACATCAAAGTTTTGGTGTTACTGCACAGTGCACAAAACAGTGTACACCTCGCATTTTCAGCACTAACTCCTGCACAGATCCGCAGTCACTCCGATCAGGTTTTTGAGCTCTCAGCATCGAGAACATTTGTTAGGGTGTTGCTATAGTATTTAAGAAAAGATGAGATAAAATACATAATAATCTAATATAATCACACAAATTTTTTTTTTGTCCCAAAATGAGAGAAGCACCCACACCCTGGAAATGCTGACTCTGTGTGATGATCTCCTGTAATACAGTGCTAGTTATTTGGTTTTGGTTGCCATGAAATACGAGTTTCTCAGCGGCATCAAGTCTGGGTAGTAATTCACTCCAACACACACACACACACACACACACACACACACATTTTCGCACCAAAAATTAGAGAAGCGTGTTGTGGTATAAGTGCTGAATCTGTGTGATCATCGACGGTAGTGGGTTGGTTTTTCCTTTAAGAATATATTGGCAAATGAGGCAGAAACCAAAATTAATAAGTGCTGCTGACAGTGGCTTTTTGTTTGTTTTTTTATAGTCATGACTTCTGCTTAAAGCTTTTGAAACCAAAGCTTTCTACCAAATTAAAGGCATCCAAGCAGAGCATTAGGATGCATAAAAAGAGTATATTTCTAATCATCAGAGGAGTGTAAAGCAGGGAGTATGATAACATGTGCAACTAACCAATGAGTGTCAAGCCATGCTGCTCGGTGAGTATAACCGATGTCTCCTCTTCCTCCTCCTCTTCTCCCCAGTCAGCGATGTTTGCAGGGGGGATGCACTGCTCCAAGAACAGGTCCTCCTCGTCTTCCTCCATGTCCATGTTCTCCGGAGGCCAGCGCAGCTCTCCACTCTCCACCTCGCTCACCTCCGTGGGTTCCACCACGATGGAGGGTAGACGCTCCTTCACATGGACGAGCTCCAGCCTGTTCAAGGTGATTTCTGGGTCCAGGACAACCTCAACAGGGTCAGGGAAGATCTGGAGGAAAAGGCGAGAGAGCTTACTGAGAATTGAGCAGAAAAGTCCTACCGAAAGTAAGTTTAGTTTACGGCAAAAATCAATTGATACTGCATTTGTTTTAATCGTTTTTAAATCAGTTTTGACCACTCTCATATTGACTTATCTTACAGATATCTCTTTCTCTCACACACACACACACACACACACCTGTTTGGTCACAGTCCGGTTACGGTATGATGATGGAACGTACCTGGAATGATAATCTTTGGTCCCTCCTTTGCATGTCTTCACAGTTGGGATCTCCGCTCATCTCCTCCATGTATCTGCAGAGGAAACAAAGCCATTACAGAGGTTAGAAACAAACATACACTGTCAAGGAACAAGTGCCTTTTTCACCATGGAGACATTCTCCTCCTTTTGCCAATATGAAGCCTGCCTTGGTAAAATATTTTGTTCTTTTAGAAACAAAGGTCCCTCATAGTTCAGTACAAAAGATTTCATCATATTCTTGTGAAAACTTGAAACCACTAACATCTTCCACACCATTATATCCTTGAATGTGAAGCGAAGGATCTTTGCCTCGTAGAATAATACAACAAACCCCACAAATCTGCAGTGACCCCCCCGTGTACGAGTTTGTGAGTCTCCTAACACGCACAAACACACACATTGAAACACACTCATACTTCAGATTAGTGCAAATAGGGTTTGATACCAAAATGGATTATGTCCGCTGTCGCTCATATTTTGTTTTTCTTACAGAGAGCCCGGCAGAACAAAAATGTTGTTTTTGCTCTGTCAGCTCTTACAAAGCGCTGTGCGCCTTATAGCGGAAGCTTTTGGGGACCTTTTATGTCATCTCTCTGCCACTATTTTCACCAAACATCACAGTCAGCTCTGTTTCCTTTAAAGCCCCGATCGTTTTCCCTTCATCAGACTGTTTGTTGGGTCCACAGTATCTGTAAAGTCGTCACATGTTTCAGTTACATGCACGAGCCTGTGCCCACATCCAACTTCAAATCTGTTTATGGTCTCCAGAAAAGCCGACGAGGGATTAAGAAGGACTGAGGATCTGTACGAATCCTCTTTTTATCCCCCTCTCCTGCTCCCCCTCTCCTCTTCCCACTGTGTCTCACTGTCTGTCCTCCTGCTATAAGTACCAATCATGGTTTGTTGTCATTCACAATCTGTTAAATCTTGCTTACTCTTTAATGAAATTTCAGTTGAAAGACAGATCTAATCTCCAGTCTTTCTGTTTTTAGACTGTGTATCGGGTACTTTTTGATATTTGCTAAGAGCAGTATTATTCACATGCTACATCAAACTAAGGAAGTAACTCAAACTATTTCCTTTCTGGAAATGCAGGATGTCACGCAGTAGAGGGCATAGATATGCAGCAGATTCATTATATATCAGTATGTATGCGGTCTAGTATACGCTGCACACGAGGGGCATAAACCCTGAGTAAAAATAAAAGCAAAGGTATATGTTTCAAAACAGAATATAGTAATGTAATATATTTCCAGGTCAAAACTATATCGTACTATATATTAATACTAATCAGCAAATGTTAACATGATAACACACTGAACTAGGATGGTGGGATTGGTGAACTTTATATCTGCAAAACTTCCAAATGATAGCATTGTCATTGGGAGCATGTTAGCATGCTAACATTAGCATCTATACCTCAACACACTTCTGTGCCAAAGTGCAGCCCCATTAAGCTGCTAGCCTGGCTGCAGACCGTTAATCTTGTTCAAGGTATACAGCGTTTGTACCTCTTTATGGTTCATTCTTTCATTTGGTTATATGCAAGTACACACGCGTGTATGCCATGAGATAGCCAGTTTGAGAAGCATATGCTTTAGTTCAAGTAGTACATTAATTTCATTTTAACAATTGAGAATTTCAAAAAATTGCATCCGCTGATTTCTCTCTCTCTCTCTCTCTCTCTCTCTCTCTCTCTCTCTCTCTCCCAACCCTGATTTTTATTTCTGACTGCCTTAATGTGACACATTTCAGGCTTAGTGTCTCCATCAACCTCCATAAGTTCATTGTTTGATATGACAAATGAAGGAACACTAAGCCAGTGTGCACAACCCCCAAAACGAGGCCGCCCTGTTCTTGTCTAAATAGGATCAGCTTTGGGAGGACGCTATCATTTTTGACCCACTTGTGAATGTGCGCAGCTCTACAATTCAATTGCTGATATTATGCTGCTGACGACTGTGTCACGCTAAGCTGTCTGTGTGCCACCTGGGATGGAAACTTTCAGCTATTGTGATGAAGAAGCTTAACCTGCATGTAATCCCCCTCATATACACTTCCTCTAAACACCTGCACGTTTCAGCTCAGTCAACAATCAGTCGTGGTTTGTGCAGAGGGCTGTATTTTGTACGCCACAGGATCAAACATGCAGTAACACTATTTTTTTTAAATGTACATAACACAAAACATTTATTAAAATATAGAAATTGTTGGAGGGAAGATATAGAGTTTAATTAAATGAGAATACATCTGAAATGTTCAGTTGAAATGATACATAGGACTCATGGGGTGATTTTAAATTGCTTTCACTCATATTTTTGCAATGACCACGAGCCCAATGGTCAGTGAAACACACATCTAAATTTAGATGCCTTTACATGCCAAACTAATATTAGTGTGATCAAGAAGAGGAACTTGAAACAATTTATTTATCATCTCGTTTCAGTTCTATATTAACTACTGGACTTCTTGTCTGCGATAAATGGGCCACAAACTGATAAGAAGAAATTCTTTAAAGGTTTCTTGCAACATGCTGTTCTAATGCAATAAATGAAATGAGCTGAATAATTTTGAGGTCCCATTACAGCAGGCCATGAGGGTTTCCTGTTTTACACCTCTCAAGCATCACCAGAGCTGGACTGTTGCATGATTTAAACATATGCTCAGGACTAAAGAAAACCCTTGTACCAAGTTGCACCATTTATTAGGCCCAAAAGCTTCACAGCAGCTACTAAATGAAGCGTGAACGGAGGTTGTTTTTGCAAACAACTGTTTTTCAAAGTCAGGAATGAACTTTGCAATCTACATTTTTAAGACAACATGGATGAGAAGTTGTTAACATGCTGAGAAGAAATTTGAACATCTAGTTCAATCACAGCTGAGCAAACTTCAAGGGCTGTTGATTGTCTTGATCAGAAGATACACACTTTACTGTTCACCTGCATCAAGAGCGAACTCTCGTTGTAGTCAGGTGAGGGGTCATGTTGAGTACATTAAGGGGGCTTCCACCTGGGAAAACCCCATAGTTCTTGCTAGTGTGAATAAAATGTGTTCCTGAAATACACACACACACACAAATGTCAGCAGCCTCTTACCCCTCACTTGCAGTCAGGCAGATGTCTTCTCCCTCTTGGCACAGCTCCACGGTGGTGAAGCCTATCTCCTCCACAATAAGTACAGGTGACACTAGAGGGGGTGCAGGAGGAGGTGAGCAGCTCCCACAGCATTCCCCCTCCGCAGAGGCCTCAGCGAGGCTTTTGGCCTCCAGGGCGAAGCCTGGAAGGGTGGGTGGAGGGGTGGGGGGTGGGGGGGGGGGGGGGGGGGCCCTGAACCCTCAGATGTCCCGGAAGTTAAGCAGAGGATCAGG